AAAAAATAATAATAATTTCCCTTTAATTGGACTAAGCTAATTCTACTACTTAAATTACCTACAGTTTTTCATATCAAAGTCATCCAAGTTCCTTCCAGCTGCAAAGCCCTGAAACCCCAGGAGTAAGGATTAAGGAGGCAGTCACTACAGTCCGAAGTGAACACTTACCTGGAATTTCTGGGTCCGTACTTTCTGGGAGGCCTCTCTGGCTTTAGCAAAGGCAGCACTGAGCTCTTTGATTTCAAGGTTAAGTTCTCCAACCTGTGGAAAAATAGGAATGACAGGCAGCATGTAACTGGTCTTTCTTTTTCTTTTCACAGCCCAAACACCTTTCCTGCTCAATTGTGTAGTGTTTAAAATCAATGGTGTGGCAGTCAGATCCTAAATGAATGAGAGCTGTAGTTTGCCTCTTTACTAGCTGGATGACTGGCAACCAGATACTGTACTCAACAGTAAAATGAGGATACCACCACCAGGGTTGTTAGCTTTAAATGTAGTCATATGTATAAAGTGCTATCTATCATAAAGCCCAGCTCACAGTGTTATAATTATTGTCCATACCTAGATAGCACACCCAACAATCTAGTTTGGCTATTCTCAAATGCTTCATGTCTTAGTGGCCTTCTCCTAGATCCCAGTCCAGCCATGAACTACCCTGCCACACCACAGACCTTGCTAGCACCCAGAGCAGTTGCACCACTGACATCTCCTCCCTTTGCACAGCACAAGGGTTTTTCCTGCTGTATTATACAGTGAAGACCTCCAATATCAGCTGAACCTTGCACTTCCAACACATGTAACTGTTATGAGTCAAATCTCATTTGACCACTGCATTCCTATAGCTTCTTCAATGCCATAGTTCCCTAGTTAGCTTCGTGTTTCTGCAAACCAGTCCTTTTTGCTCCTTTGTGCAGTCCTTCTCCTCTCCCTGAAATGCTGATGTTTCCTGCTGTGCCACTCTCTGCCTTCTCTCCCACTCTACACGCTCTCCTTGAATAAGTAGACCAAATTTCTGAATTTTAATTCTTATCTGTGTATGAGTGACTCTGAGGTCTACAGCATCTCCAAGCCTGAGGTCTCTTCAAGCTTTAGACTTGCATATCCACCTGATCCCAGCACAGCTCACCTGGATGGTCCAGGAGCTCCTCAAAGTCAGTACTTTCTAAAACTACTTCTCAGCTCCTTTTAGAAAGTCTCACACCCACCCACCCACTCCCATCTCACCATTACACTCCAACTTCTATGCTTTTAACTGAGTGGGTGGCACCACTATATCCCTAGTCAGGCACGCACCTAGAAGTCATCTTGACTATATCTTCTCTGAAGTACTACTTCTAATCGTCAGATTGTCCCCAATCCTAAATATTTCTTGAATATGCTCCTCCCTCTCCATTCCTATTTGTATGGCCACTGCTCTAATTCAGCCTTCCTGAGCTCTCACTGGGGCTGCTGGCCTACCTACCTCCTCCCATACCTCCCTCCTCTAATCCACTCTTTGTATATAAGACAGAAAACTTTCTAAAATGCTAATATGATCACACTTCTGTTTACGAGCCTTCAGTGGCACACCACACTAACAATTAAATATGATAACGAATTCCACCACTACCAGCTGGCCCTTGTAATCTCTCTAGCTTCTCCTCTTGCCTTGGTTAAATTTTCTCTTTGGGCTCTGGTAACCCCAAAGATTAGGCTGTTTCCTGGCTCAGAACCTTTGCCAATGTTCTCTCCTGTGTTTGGAGTGGCCTCCCTGCCCCTGCCTCCCTTCCCAACTACTTTCTATTCATCCTTTGAGATTCAGCTCAGGCGTATTCTCCTGTAGGTACCACTCCCCCTTCCACACATACACACTTCGATCTGAATTTGGTTCCCTTCCCTCAGCTTCCACAGCCCCTGCAGTCCTCTCTTCTATCACTCTTTGTCTTTTGTCTCTACCACATTTGTAAGGAGAGCCAGGTTGTCATCCCTGCATCAGCGTCTAGCACAGTTACTGGGGCAAAACAGATTGCTATACTAACTAAGATAAGAAAACCAGCGTAAAACCATCAGTCACCACTTTGGATGAACCCAAGCTATCTATTGGGTTCACAGCCATGGCTTTGTCCTTTTATCTCAATTTTCTAATCTTTCTAAAGAATACACATGCACTGTCCAATATGGTAGTCACTAACAGACTCAAAGGCACTTAGCAACAACAAATACCACATATGGTTAGTGGGTATTTGATATACGGCTAGTCTAAACTGAGAAGTGCTGTAAGAATTGTAAAAAAGAATGCAAAGTACTTCATTAATAATAGTTTTATTGATTATATGCTAAAACGATAATATTTTGGATATATTAAGTTAAATAAAATATATTATTAGTATCCGTGTCATGTGTTTATTGCTTTTAATATGGCTATTAGAAATTGTTAATTACATACGTATCTCACATTATATTTCCATTGGACAGTGCTGGGTTAATCCATAACCCATTGCCATTGAGTCCATTTCAATTCACCACAGCACCATAGGGCAGAGTAGAACTTCCCCCATAGGGTTTCCAAGGCTGCAAATCTTTACAGAAGCAGCTGGTGGGTTTGAACTGCCAACCTTTCAGTCAGCAACCAGAGGGTTAACCTGCACTAAGGTTCCCCGATGCTGCATTAAATAAACCACAAGAACAATGCACTGACTAAAGGACCACTCCACCACGCCCCCATCCATACTCAGCTCACCTCTCTTATAAAATTTTTACCTAAAGCTAAAAATTCAGGGTAGGACAAGCCAGTCACAGCAGCTAATAAAGAAAAATCTCACATCAGGGCCATCAGACATACCTCTTTTTCCTTTGATTTTAATGCCTTGGTTAGACCCTGAATGGCTTTATCCCGCTTTAAACTATTTTTCTTTTCTGTAGCAATTTCTCTTTCCTTCTCTCTCAGGTCCTCCTGAAGTGTCTAAATTAGATTAGAAAAAGATTCGCTAAGTTGATGCGTCGCAACCAAAATGCACTGTAAATATATCTTTAAGAGCACACTCAAACGCAGTTATTCTATCTTATTCCTGTCAACGTGTGATTAATGTTTCCAAGTAGAGCTGAACGCAGTGGCATCAGCTCCAAGTTACTGCGTTACTGCTCACGGCAATAGGCCTGAGTGAAGGGATGGGGATCAGATCAGTTAAGGCGATGACAGCTATTCCTATGGGAAGGACTCCAATGCCTTCTGGAATCTGAATACCATCACATCAGAGACTATGCAACCGGACCAGGTTATTTGAGGGAAATAACAGATCATTAATTTCATTCCTTAATGCTACAAAAGCTAGCAGAGAATTTGGCATGATGGAGACTAAACTATACATTTAGAGTCTGAGTTCATTTCTAAAGATAATCACCACTGCCTCTTTGCCAGGCTATTGTGAGGATCAAACAACATAATGGATGTGAAAGTGTTTTCTTGGCTGGCGGGCTATATACAAACGCTGGCTGCTGTGGCTGAGGGACGATGGAGCATGGGGTCTGAATCCAGGCAGGCCAGTCTGAAGCCTTGCTAGACATGACCTCTCCTGAGGCATAGGATCTTGTGCAAATCACCTCATTGCCCCAAACCACATGTGCAAAATGAGAATGCCCACTTCACAGTTATTGCCAAGGAGAAAAACTCTGTAAAGCTCCGAAAACTTGACTGACACACAGCAGCATTCAATAAATGAATGTTATTATCACAGATAATTATCTGTATAACTCAAGAATAAAACAGGAGGCAAAAATAGGGTCAAGTTTCAATAAATTTTATAAAATTGTATCAACATACCTGGAGTCTCTCTTCAAAGCAACTCCTCTCCTTCTGACGCTCCATTTGTACAGCCTAAGAAGAAACAGTCATTGTGCGGAGAAGAAACCCTCCTAGCAAGAGCTTCCCCAGAACAGTTAGAATGCTTAGCTACTCAATTAAAACAGAGGTGTCCCACCCAAAGACCCACCTATATGAGAGAAGAAACGTAAAGACACCTAATCCCCATTCGTTGATCACCAACTATAAAGCATACACCAAGATGCTGCTAAGCAAAATATAAAGGGCTTGTTAGAAGATACTACCAGCAAGTGGGAGAGAGGATCAATGGAGGAGCTGATTGCAGACAAAAACCAACTGGTAAGACTAATGTACAGCTGCAGTGTGGACAATGACCGTGCTCCATAGAGAAATCCGGACTCTTCATGAACATCCCGAACATTCCTTACTGTGAATGTACCACATGCAGCAGTCACTCCTAGCCTAACAGGAAGGGAAGGCCTCAGCAAAGGGCTACCTGAGTTTCCCTAGTCCTGTCCACCATTCCCAAAACGGTTTGCCATAGAGGCCATCCAGTGTGGGAGGAAAAGTCCAGAGAGGCTTTGGAGACCACTTTGTTGCTACTGTTGTTGTTAAGTGCTGGTGAATCGGGTTTACTAGGAGTGGCTGGTGAGCTTGAACTGTTGACCGTGCTGTTCAAACTGACCTTGTAGTCCATCACATTAACACGCAGCACCACACCAGGCTTCCTAGATCATCTCTTAGAGCTGAGAAAATAGAACAGCTCCTCTGAGCCTGTTTCTAAACTCTGAGTGGACCATAAGCGCACGCAAGGTGACCAGGAGGATTAAGTGAAATGGTGAGGTGAACCCCTCCACGTGCTGCCAGGCCTACACAAGTTAGTTCTCTACTCCCACTGCCTCTGAAATTGCTGAGCAAAGTGGGCCTACGCTTCCTCTAACCACAAGGCAAAAAGGGTGTGTACAATGTACCACAAGCTTGTCCTTAGAAAACCCAAAGGGTGAAAATCAAGTCCACAGACGATAATAAATTAACAAATGGTGAAACAGAGGCGAGCAGATATGGGACTGTTTCTTAACGAACTCTTTATGTAAACACAGGCTTGGAACAAATAAACGACAGGGGCCCTGACAAAAGCAGTTTCTGCTATTCCTCAGCTGACAAGGAGCTAATATTTAGTAGCAGACTGTGTGTGAACCATGGGGACTGAAGGTGTATTCCATTTCCCAGAGAATAGGTGGTCTGCTAATTAAAGTCCTTCCTTCATGTCCCATCTCCTCACCTCCGTTTCTTTCTCCCTTTCTTCCCTAGGAGCAGCAGAAAGTCCTCGGAGCTCTCCAGATGACACAATCTCATCAGCAGATGCCATCTGAGATTTCTCCTCTTTAAGGCACTGAATTAAAGCTTCTTTGCTCTTCAAAGACAGCTTCAACTCCTCAATCAGTCTGAAAAAGAACAAAATTTAAATATTAATTCTAAGCTGTTCTCTTAGCTCAGTGGAGCAGGAGGAGGTAGGGAAATGAGGCCCAGACATCTTCAAAGGAGACATGTCCAATACTGAACATAAATGGAATCACATTTTGCAGGTCAGAGATTAAGGGCCAGAATCCATGTGACATTAACCAGTCTCCTCGCCTGCAGCCTGGCTAGTGGAATCAGTCTCTGAGCTGCCAGAGTATGGCTTCATCAAGTCACACTTTTGCTAAAGACTTTCAACAACCTCACCATCCAAAGAAACACTGTTTCCAAAAGACACTGGGTACAAAGGTCCAAAAAACCATAACCAATAAAGCAGAACTATTCTAGTGAATGTGAAAAAAACAGACTTTCAAGATAAAATCTAAACTCCTCAGTAAGGTATTCAAGGCCCTAGATTTTCATGCCTAGAAGATCAGAAGTCACTGCTGACAGCTTCAGTCTCATCTCTTCAGGGAAACCATCACCACTGACCACCTCGCTTCCAGTTTCCCTGAGAAATAAAAGCTGTTTCATGTCTCTAAACCTCTGTCCAAACTATTCTACCTTAAATGGCCTTCCCAGCCTTACTCCCACCTGCACCTGATAAACACTATTAGTCCTGCAAGAATTGGTTAAGCATCACCTACTGCTGTGCATAATGTCGCTATGGGTCAGTACCGACTCAATGGTACCTAACAACAACAAAAACAACAACTGCGGTGCAGTGGGATATGTAATGTCTCACTTAACCATAGTCTTTGCAAACACCCACCAAAACTCCTTTTCCTGATAGGTAGGGGAAGAGAAGGTGAAAGAAGATGCTGATGGATTATATGATTCCACTGTGATCATAAACAAGGCTAACTGTGATTGTCAAAACCTTGGAGCTCTCACATGGGTATAAAAGGAGCCATCTTGGAAGCAGGATAGAAGCAGGCTTCTTACTGCCATCAAAGAAGAGCCAGGAGAAAAGCACATCTTGTGAAGCCCAGCATTCCTGTGCACTGAAATTCCTCAACTAAGGGACACAAAGCTGTGATATCAAAAGAGCAAAGGAGCCAACAGCAGAACCACGAGCCAGAGCACAAGCCAGAGCACTGGACTTGCAGCTCACAAAACAAATAAAGCTGAGTGACTTTAGGCTGGCAGCTTGCTTGTCCAGTGGGGAGTCACCAGGCACTTATTTAGGGGAGTTAGGCTTGCTAATCCATGGAACTAAGCTGAGAGTCTTTGGGCTGAGTCTTACAGTGAAATGGAGTGCCCTTGAGCATTTATCAGCAGCCATTAAAGAGCTCTGATGCCTGGCAGAGAGAGACCTGAATGTGTGCACAGCTGAGAAGAGGCTGTCCTGACTGGAAGAACTGTGCTCTGAACATCTCTGCCCCTGATTTGTAACCTGTAAACTTCCCTAACGAACTCCGTAACTGTGAGTATGCTGTCTGAGTTCTGTGTGGCCACTGTAATGAATTTTTTAACCTGAGTAGAGAGTGTTGTGGGAGGGATGATTTGTTGTCATTTCGTGCACCTACCCTAAAGGAAGCTTTGCCAACTCACATCCCTATTACTGCCACCAGGTAGAGTCAACATCTCCTTCTCTTAGGCACCATACTGTTGTTGTTAAGTGCCGTCGAGTCGGTTCCAACCCATAGTGACCCTGAACAGGGTTTCCGAGGCTGTAAATCTTTACGGCTGTAAGCCTCATCTTTCTCCCACGGAGCAGCTGGTAGTTTCGAACTGCTGACCTTATGGTTCACAGCCCGATTTGTAACCACTATGCTACCAGAGCTACCAGAGCTACTGTACCAAATGCTCTTGACCATGGCAAGTTACTTAACCTAGCTGAGCCAATATGTCTTCAGGTATAAAATGGAGATAACAGCTTGTGTGAGCTGGAGATTAACTATTTAAAAACAGCGGCTCCATAATATAAACACTAGACGCAAACCACAAAGTCAGCAGTTTGAGTCCATTAGCCACTTTGTGGAAGAAAGAAGGTGTTTTCTGCTTCCACAAAGATCTTTAAAAGCCTGAGAAACACTTATACAGGGGTGCTATGAATCGGATCTGACTCGACAGCATTTAATGACACAGCTCCTGGTATATGGCAGAACTCAATAATTGGCAGTTGTTAAAATTATTACTTTTTTTATTTCTTAACATGAGGTTTTATCAATTATAATTCTTTATTTTTAAACAGTTTTGTTGAGATATAATTCAAAATCATATAATTTACCCATTTAAGATCACTTATTATAATACTTGGCAATTACCATTCTATCAGAGGACCCTAGAAGAGCCTTTGTATAGCTAAGCAATTGTTAGAAAGAGCAAAGGCTTGGCAACCTAACCGTCATCAGCTCTGCTTGGGTCTAAGGGAGGGAGAGCTTATCAGACAAGGGAGTCCTGGGTGATTTCAAGGACTAAGGGTGGGGAAGAGGAAGCCTTGTGAAGCAGAGAGAGACACATGGTCCTTGCTCCCTGAGCAAAGGTGAGGTGCTGAGTAGACAAAAAAGCGGATAAAGGACCCTGCAATACCTTGGATATAGACGGTACAAGACAGTACCAGTCTCAAAACTTGGGCCAGACATAGGCCCTGGGAAAGTCCACAAACATACAGGCTTTACTAGCAAGGCCCTGCCCTGACCACTGGCTTTCATGGAGACTCTACCTTGTTTAAACACTTAGTAAACACTGTTGTTGTTAAGTGCCGTTGAGTCAGTTCTGACTCAGTGACCCTGTATAGTTTCTAAAGAGCAGCTGGTGAACTTGAACCACCACCTTGCGGTTCAAACAGACCTTGCAGTCCAGTGCATTAACCCACAGCACCACACCAGGATTCCCAGTAAACATTGGTGGTTGGTGGTTATGTGCCATGGAGTCAGCACCAATTCACAGCAACCCTGCATTGGGTTTCCGAAGCTGTAAATCTTTACAGGAGCAGAAAGCCTCATCTTTCTCCCATGGAACAGCTGGTAGTTTCAAACTGCTGATTAGCATCCCGATTCGTAACCACTACACTACCAGAGCTCTGGTAGTGTAGTTAAAAATCAAGCTGCTAACCTCAAGGTCGGCAGTTCGAAACTACCAGCTGTTCCGTAGGAGAAAAATGAGGCTTTACACTCCTGTAAAGATTTACAGCCTTGGAAACCCTGTGCAGGGTCGCTATGAGTTGGAACCGACTCCACAGTACTTAACACTACCAGAGCTCCTTTTACTCAATCAAGCCTTAATATCCATATACCCAGTCACCTCCTAGACTCTACTCAGCTGCCCATAGATCCTTCAAACTTAGTACATCCAAACTGAAAACATCACCTTATCTCTCTCCCTTTTCCCCCACAAACTCAACAAACGTCACCACCATTTCACAGCTTCTCTCTTCATTTCTTCTCACCTCCTTACCAGAACTCAACGCTCCAGCATCCAACACCTCTTTGAATTCCCTGATCATGCTGTGTTCTTTCTTGCCTCTGAACTTTTACACAAAGAGTGCCTGGAGCACTCTTTTATCCTTTCTTTGTCCAAGGAAGTCCTCCTCATCCTAGCATTTCCTCCAGGGCAGCTTTCCTAATCCTGCTAAATCCAATTAGATAGTATTTAGCTCACCTAGTCCTTAGCCTTATGTGGCACTGTGGGCTAATGCGTCAGACTGCAAAGTCATTTGAACTGCAAGGCGGATGGTTCAAGCTCACCAGCTGCACCTTGGAAACCCTATACAGGGTCCCTATGGGTCGGAATCGACTCAACGACACTTAACAACAACAACAGTTCTTATGGAGTCCTGGTGTGGCACAGCAGGATAATGCTCTAGAGCACAAGGGCAGTTTGAGCCACAAGGTCGGAGGTTCAAACCTACCCACCACTCCTTGGTCATTATGGCCAGAACCACCTTGAAAGCATTCAGTCCTTATCACTCTGTCCCATCCCTTAACACCTAGCTGTTGTTGTATGTCATCGAGTCAGTTGGGAATCAGTGACCCTATATAGGATTTCCAGGGACAGCTAGTGGGATTGAACCACCAACCTTGTGGTCAGCCATCCAATGCTTATCCTACAAAGACACATCAGGAGTCCTTACACCTAGCTAGATAAGCTTAAATTTAAATGATGAATTTCATGAGTAAAGGGATCTGGTCTGTATCACCCCTCCTACTTAAATTCATACCAGCACTCTGTTTGAATATATGCTATTCAGTAAATATTTGTTAAATAAAGGATATAACGATACCATAGTGTTTTCATCTGCCTTGGAGTTAGTCCCAACTCACAGCAACCCTATACACAACAGAATGAAACACTGCCCAATCCTGTGCCAACCTCACAATTACGTTTCAGTCCATTGTTGCTGCCGCTCTGTCAATCCATCTGATCCCTCCTAACAAAGTGTCCAAAGAATGAGAGGACTGTCACCATCCTTGCTTCTAAGGAGCACTCTGGTTATACTTCTTTCAACACATATTTGATTGCTTTTCTGACAGTCCATGGTACTTTCAATATTCACCAACAGAATAATTCAAATGAACTGATTCTAGAACAGTCTTCCTTATTCATTATCCATGCATATGAAGCAATGCCAAATACTATGGCTTGGGTAAGATGCGCCTTAGTCTTCAAACTGCTATCTTTCCTCTTGCACACTTTAAAGAGGAGTTTCACAGCATATCTGCCTAATGCAATACAGTGTTTGATTTCATGACGGCTGCTTCCATGAGGCTGCTTCCATAATGGATTGAAGCAAAAGAAAGTCTTTGACTACGTCAATCTTTTCTCCATTACCATGATGCTATTTACTGGTCAAATAATGAAGATTTTTGTTTCGTTACATTAAGGCACAATCCATCCTGGAAGCTGTGGTGGTGGTGGTGGTGGTGGTTATGTGCCGTGGAGTTGGAACTGACTCATAGCAATCCTGTACAGGGTTTCCGAGGCTATAAATCTTTACAGGAGCAGAAAGCCTCATCTTTCTCCCGTGGCCCAATCTGTAACC